AAATTAGTATGTCGACTTACCCCAGTCAAAGGCAAATGACATGTGTAGCAGAAATGCCACTAGAGAAGACGATACCCCACCCGAACAGCTTCTTGAAGAAGTAAGCGGGTGTGAGTGACTGAATTTTGCTTTGTAAGAGGCGAGCAGTAGCCGGTCGTCGACGTTATGGTGAGTCCAAAAGACTCAGCGAGGGAAGATGATATGCAAAAGAGCATTCCACTTGACAAAAGACATACAGAGCTGAAGAAAGACTGAACAGCAGCACACACAACTAAAAGGCAGAACTCTCATGGATGGCCCAAGGAAAACGATGTGACACTGGGGCAATTAGAATATAAAGACAAGCAGCCATCACACCAAACTTGGTCATCCAAAATCCTGCGGAAAAAATCCACTGATGTAAGAAGTAGGACTCCACGGTGAAGCAAGGTGTCTTCAGATAAATATACAGCTGGGACAGATCTATGATGGGTCTCCAATATCCCATGTTTTAGGAGACAACAAATACACGAGAGTAAAATCCTGGTTCAGTGGGCACCACCCACTCAATAGCTCCTTTGTGTAGGAGGTCTAAAACATATTTGATACGATGACTGTATGAGGCACGATCCCAAGGAGGAGGAAAGGAGATCTGGGAAGTGAAAAGAGGGGGGAGCAGAACTGAAGGCAGAAACCTTCAGATAGAGCCGTAGAACCCACGAAACTGTCATGAAGTGTAGCCAAAAAGACACATCAACTAAACATACTTAGAGAAAGTACTCAATACTAATGAACTAACAAAACTTAGAAATTTGTAGAGTCTACAAAGTACATGAAAATAACAAATCTGCAAAACTATGATATTCGACCAAAAACATAAAACAATAAGTAACACCTAAAGTACAAAACCACTAACGGAACCTATAAGACAAAGGACACGAAAGTAAAACCAACTCTGAAGAACGTGAATACAAAAAGGCACCCAGTTAACAATAAGAAATTTTGACTAAAACCTAATCCCCAATTAGATGTGACTAGCAGTAAAGAAAAAGGAACTTACAAACTAAATAACATAAACAGTGAAAAGAAGTAAAAGTAATGACCCAACACACCCTCAAAATTAGCCAAAGATACAATTACACACGATCGTGCAAAACCAGTACATGTACTGAAGATTAAACAAAACAAAGTAATAATCAATGGTAAAATAATTATAAAAATCTAACTTATCAAATACTGAGAAAGACCTAAATTATCAAGTGCAGAAATAAGGTCCATCCACACGTAAACTCGCTAAACATAAGTATATCTACTGGGAGTGAGGAATACACACTGAAAAACGTACCACAGATCACATGTGACAAAGAACAATACCTAACTCAGCAGATCACAAGAAGATGTGGTAACAGGTGGAAAGTGCCGTAGAAAGAAATTTCCACACTGTAGTTGTATCCTTCCTTACAAAAGATCGTAATGGGAAATGAAGAAATCATCGGCTGCACATAAGACATGAACGCCCCGAGAACCAGGAACTCATGTCAGAACCATTCTCTACTAAGATGGGAATTTCATCATCTGCCATATTAAATCTCAAATTCATATGAACAAATTAGAATTTGGAAAACTGAAATATTTCTAAAAACAATGGAAGTCAAAACTTAAAGTTGAAACTGATATAAGTTTGTGATCAAACACAATCAAAATTTTGTAGTCACATGGAGAACAAGTTAAAACAAATGTCTATACACTAGAATGCCAATCGAGAAAGTGAGGAATGTGCTAGAATAGTAGAGGGAGCTAGCTGCACTAGTATAGGTGGCAGAGTATGATTGGTGAAGGGTAGTCACATAATCAGTGAGTGGAGGTTGTAGTGTTTCGGAAAAAACATTAACAAAATTTGTAAATCAAACTAAAAACAAACTGTGTTTGAAACTTACCTTCATCTTTAGTGGAAACCAGAGAAATTTTTGAGTTGTTAACTTTAGCTGGTAATAGCACAGTCTTTGTTTCTTTGTTAGGAGAAGATTCCTATAATTTAAATGAAGATTTAATTGAATATCATTTAACATTTCACTATATATAACTTTTGCTCATTTGAGAAATATCAAATTCACTGAACTAGAAAGTAACAACTCAATCACTAGAGGGTTTAAAACTATCATATTTAAAATGCAAAAACAGAAAATCACACAAAATCATTTCACACATTTTTCAGCCAAACAATTACACTAAATTCAGGTGTACTATGAAAATGAGTGATGACTGTTTTTAAATGGCAATGTACTGATAATTCTTTTTCAAAGAGTAAATTTATGTTTCACCCAAATATTTTTGGATGAATGTAGAAAAGTAAAAATGACCAAATAGCTTTACATTTACATGAAGTAAAATGATGCAGATTTTTGTATATAAAATCCAAATTTAATTATTATTTAATTTTTTTCAAATATTCATTACAATATCAAACTCATTATATTACTGACAAACTTCATATAAAAAATACTTTAGAGATAAGTGAATAATTTTTACTCCAGTATTAGAAAAAATCATAACTTATTAAAGAAAAACATCACATACGAAAAATCATCCTCGTGTCGAGTTTGGTTCTAAAACTTATAGCTACTTATCCTTGTGTTGAGTTTACAGAAATCACAACCACTCATCCTCATGTTCAGTTTGGTTACAGAACTCATGACTACTCATTCTCATACTAAGTCTGATTGCAAAATTTATTTAATTATCAAAAGAAAATACACATTTCCAAGTGAGCTACAAAAAAATCTAGATTTCTTTACACTTTAGACAAAACAATGAGAATTATAACATTCTGTTCATCTGGTAAAAGTCAGAAGGACCATCCACTAAGCATGACCCTGACACAGATTTTTGTAAAAAATTATTGATAACTGAAAAAAATTCCCCAAAAAATACCAAAATATAGTAGTATATTTAGGGTTTATTTTAGAACCAAGCAATACACATTCTAATAATGCTGGTATTATTTATGCAGGTATTGAAAGTAGTCTCTAGTTACTAATTCTACAGTATTCTTCTGGCATTCAAATAATTAAAAAAAGTTCTGAAATTCCTTAAACATTTCATGATTTATTTACAAAAACAATACATCAAGTTTACTCATTATACCAAGCATTATTCTAACATGAAATGTTATATAAAACCTAATGTATGAAAGATGGAAAATAAATCCTTGTCTTAAAATTTGTAATAAAAATCATATAAACTGCAATTTTCTTTTTTCCACATTTCTCTCAAATTTGTTCATTCTGGATTCAAAATCAGAGGCAGGTAAAAATAACATTTCAGAGGTATCCTTTGTCACCCACAAGTCATTGGACAAGAGGCTATTTGTTCAATACCAGAACTCATCAGTTAAGTTACATGATAAAAGTTCAGTTATGGAACAAAATACCTCTTGGGTAGTGATTTCTGGGAGAAAAACAATAGATGTGAAATGCTTTCTTTTACATGTTTCCAATTTTAAATATAAAATACAAATATTAAGAAGAATGTGAAAAAAATATTGAAGCTTATATTGTTTTTATAACAAATGTTAGGCACATTGTTTTCTAATGCTTTGTCAGCTTTCAGCATTTAAACCAGAAATCCTTGTCTTGTTATATTTATAAGAAAAAAATAAAACACCCATAGTACAAGGATGTGTGTGGAGTTGCAAACAACCCTGAATAGGTTTGTTGATCAAAAAAGGAAAAAAAACTAATATGAAATGGATATTTCCAAGAAATCACTTAATTAAACAACAACAAAAATGGGAATAACTAGTTTTTTTTTAAGTATCAGATTTTTACCTTCAGGAAAAAATGAATCAAATGATGAACAAAAAGATACACAAAGTGAAATGTGTAGAGCGGATAAATGGAAAAAAGTTACAAGGTTACAGAAGGGATCCAAATATTATAGCTATTATGAAAATCAGTTAAAGATTACCAATACTTTAATGAAAAACCTACTTCATAATGTGGTAGAAAATGATAAAGCTTACTTTAACGTCTTTAGCTTCAGCATAACACTGACTAGCACGTTTTGACTGGGATTTGAGGAGTTCACACAACCAAGGTGGCTGTTCTGAACCTAAAAGATCTCCATTTTCTTTTCCCTGTAAAGAAAATATTAATTACAAAAATATGATATTATAGAGAAGCACTATAGAAGAGAACAATCTACTGAATAACTTTTAATACAGTCATGTGATACAAACATCTATACAATTCTAGGGCTGAAAAATATACACAGGTAGGATGAAGATAAGAATCCCAAATGTATTAAAAATAATGTTACTTTCTCTACTAAATAGCCATAGCAGAGTATAAGAAACATGCATTTTTAACTGCAAGCAGTGCACATGACAAAAACTCAGTTCTATGTTACTTTTGATCTTGTTTTAAATCTTTTCTGCCTAACTGTTCAGTCACCAGTTTATAATATTCTAATAGTATCTTACAGTATAAAAATGTATTCTAACTTTAAATAAATCATATATTTCAAGGCAATGACAAAAAATAATTCCTACATGAACTTACCATTTCTCTACCGAGAAACTGGGAAGGAGGTCTACGATTGGGTGCTCTAGCCCTGCTAGCTGTTAGGTGAGTGAGTTTGTCAGGAAAAACCTCTACACTATCAAATGCTGACTTATCTGTCCAAAATAAAGTTCAATCTCCTATGTAACAATTCATACTATAAAATTTCTATAAAAATGAAAGGATATGTATGCTTACATATTATGTATATTACACATAAATTATGTCAATGACACTATTACTTACAACCACACTGCAAGCTGTACAGTAATTGGGTAAGTTTAGGTTTCACCAAGGAATGCTTCAAACCATCAAACACACTGTTTCATCTCATATTAAAGAGGTTTAACTATCATGAATTTTAGTGCTGTAACAAGATTTTATTTTTAGTTTGTTCTACACAGCTTCATCCCTAGGACAATATTAGATTCATTTGAGTGGACCTACCACATCAATACCCCATGCCTAAAATCTTTAATACAAAAAACAATCCATACTGTTTGAAAAACTTTAAAGAGTTTTTTTGTATATACAGTAACTATATAAACATACATAACAATACATAAAATGGCTGTTTTGTTTATTATCTTACCAATAAAATTATATTTTTAATTATCATTACAATAAAACATGAATTTTTACACAGAATTTTCCATACCATCTTTATTTATTTCTTATGAATTTGTTAACACTGGGGCTATTATATAGTTAGTTTTTTTATAGTCTACCCTACCCAGAATAAGAAATTTCTCTGTGATGCAACAAATGACACAAGATTTAATGACTCACACGTGCATTAAAATAAACTTTAAACTTTAAAATCCAAAAAAATCTAAAGCAAGAATGTGTTTTTGCTTGATAAATTTCATTCAAAGCTACTTGAGGGCTTTTGTGTTAGTTGTCCCTAATTTTGAAGTAATAGATTAAAGGAAAGACAGCTAACCATCAACATCACTCATAGTCAACTCTTGGGCTACCATAATCAACTTATGGGGTTTACCAATACATTTATAACACATCCATGACCTCAAAGTACAGAGTATGATTTTATTTTTTCTGGAGGTAACAGGGTACAAACCATAGAACCTCAGACCCAAGCTCAGCACACTATCCAATGACCCATGCTCAGTGGTAGAACATGTTAAAACTTTTCAACCCCAAAACATCTATCTAAAACAATAAAAACTCTATGTATACAATTTAGTGGATATGTTCTTAACCCTCAAATAACATCTTGTTTAATACCATTCACTACTGAGTAATTATGTTTATCCCTGTTACATTATTCTGTGTAAAGATATGACCAAGACAAGTGGGTGAAATCACTCGTTTTCTGTCGAAAATGTACAAGGGACCAATTACAATACTGATGATATCTTTGTTTACATTTTTTTGTGTGACATTTTTATTATTAAAAAACTCTATAACAAACAATGTCATGGCCTCACAGTTGCTAAATAACTAGATAATCACCTCCTTAAACCCAAAATACTGAAGTAAACAGAAAGAACTTAATAACTCAAAAAAGTCTCTTTAAGCTACATTGCCATATGGGCAAATAAGTAACTTACAATAGTGCAGGGGTGAAGGAAGAAATCTATAAAGGGGTGCTACTTTTGGAAGAAAACAGAAGTGACTGGCAAAATTTTATAATTTTCACTAAAAATGGTACACTTTAACAGTATCTAAGACCATATTTACACCTTTTAAATAAGTTGTAATCATCAATGGGTGAAATTTAAGAGATAAAATCTTACCTACCCCACCCCTGTTACACACATGCAGTAGGACATGATACTTGAACACTTTGACAGAAAACAAAATAATATGAGGTTTCAATGTTTTATTTATCAGGATACCTATGTCCATCCTGATCATTATAGCCCCTGTTATAGAACTTATGATTACTGCATGAGGATACAAGTACAAAATAAATTACTTTCATCACAATTTCAAACACATATCAACTAACTGTTCTAGTTACTTTAGTCTAACCTTGTAAATACATGCACGTAAAAACAAAAAAAGACACATTCATGGTGCACACAGGCTAATTGGGGAAAAAATTCCAGGACCAAATTGTCATTTTCACAGACCAAATTTACTGATTTTATCAGAACATGAACACCATCAAATCTAAATAACTAATGTTCAATTAATATTTTACAAAAATTACAGTAATAGCTATGCTAAATATTGTAGAAATACTAGAAGAGTAACAACTGAGATATCAAAAACTTTTATTCAAGCAACAAAAAATAAGACAACAAAATAAGCCTTTGAAATAAATTATAAATGTCTGCATTAATTAATTCTTAATCAATTATAATCCCCTATGTATATACTCCAACTTCAGTTTAATAACGTGATAAAAGCCTTGTGTCTTCTTTCCAAATACAATAGTTTGGCCAAAGCTAAGAATTCCTTTAGCATTTAATCAAAATCAAATAATATTAACTGAACATGTTACTTTAACTTGCCAATAAGGACAACAAGTCAACTTGTACCTTACTGACTACTGAACATACATCATGCCACATCAACAAAGTAAAGATTCACAATCATATTGTTGAACGCATTAACAGTGTTGTACATCTCATGATTTTCCCACACAATTGTACTCCATTATTTTCAAACGTTTTCTCAGTTTACTGCTTATACTTCACCTAAAAAATACTCTCCAAAGAAGTGTAAACGTTATGGGTGAATAAAACTTTTATATTTCAACATGGTGTTCAGCCTGTAAGCTTTCTTTTATGATAAATACATTTAAGCAATATTTAAAATAATAATTGTCCTGAAGAATTTTATTTGTTGACAATGATGCTGTCATGTGCATCAGTCATCACAAAATATAATGATTATATACAAAAATAATGAACTAGTTTTTTAAGAATTTTATTTACTTTAGATCTAAAAGAAAAAAACAAAAAAAGACAAAGTAAAACTAATAACATATATCACACTACAAAAGTCCTGATCATCCTTGAGAAATTGCCAAGTTTTATATATCTTTAGAATCTTTTAAAGACTTTACTAGGACATCCAAATAAAAAATTTTGAATTTCCAAGATTTCCTGTGATATCAAAATGTGTTTACAAAACCCCATGACTTTAGAGGATTTTATTGACCTGAGCAAACCCTGTACACACATATATTTCTAGATACAGAATCTATACACTAAACAATACCTTCTGGTTTCTGTTGTTGGCACCTAACTTTCATGTCATCAGTTAAACGTTCTGTTGTAACTGGTGATACAATAGGTATGGAGCCTGAAGGAGAAGCCACAGATGGTGAAGGAAGCTTACTTGTTCCTGCAGTCGACGTGGTAGAAGCTGATGACATCAGAATGGAAGAAGTTGGTGGTGTCAATAATGTTGAAGGTTTGACTGGAGAGATTGAAGATCTCTGAGGCTTTTTCTTGGTTTGAAGTAATGGTTTCTTACCTGGTAGTGGTGGAGCTGGCTTGTCTTCTGAGAGGAAGAGGAAACAGTAAAGAGAAAATTTTATAGAACTCAAAATTTAATTCAAAGTAAAAAAAGGATTAATGTTTTGTAAGCAGCTGAACATATTTTAAAATACTACAAGTTCTTAACTTTCAAGATAAAATGCTTTTGCTACTTGATTTGACATTGTTTAAGTATATGTAATTCATATATTCAAATAAGTGTTTTAAAAGCCTTTCTTTAATCTTTACAATGGCACTAGTTCATTGCATTTCACTTCTAAGTTTACTAAACCTAACTTGCTGACCAGCACTACTAGAATTTAACTCGTTTGATTGATTATTTGTTTAAGATATTCTCATAAAGCTACATAATGGCTTAGTACACTGCAATAGGCAACAGCTGCCTGTTGTAGAAAAAAATACAAGAGTAGAGGATGACATTTCGAAAGTCTTCCGTCTTCAAGTCAGTGTGTGTTGGTTTGGTTTTTCCTGGCAGTTATTTAGATTTAAAAATAATTATTTCCGAAGGAAATAATTATTAATCTGGGGCGCTCGAGGATTAAGATCATTCAAATCTACCAAACCTGTACAGAGATTCATTGCTGAAAATAACAGATAAAATATACAGTTTTTTTCTAAGAACAAGTCATAGACACCTACTGTAGAAGATTCCTAAGCCCAACAACAACATAGTACATATTTATACTAT